CGAACATATAGTTGATCCACCGCTAATCCCGTTTTTTTTAATGGGTAGCGTGTGTGGATTGGTTGCTAAGTGCACCGAAAGGAAAACTATTTCACGAATGAATTATTATTTTTTTTTTTTTTTGATCCCTTTTTGCCTACATTGCAATCAAAGATGTGTCAAAAAAAAAAAAAAAATCCCGTGATTTGGTTTTACCTTCCATTTCACTTTTAATGCATATAAATAGGCTCGAAAACCTACAAGGTTCCACGTCGTCCCTTTGAAAAGGAACGAATTGAACAAGAACTTCGCTTGATCGGCACTTACGGTCTTCGAAATAAGCGAGAGATTTGGCGTGTAGCCTACACACTTTCAAATATTCGTCGTGCCGCTCGTGAACTACTTATGTTGGACGACAAGGATCCTCGTCGACTTTTTGAAGGGAATGCCTTGATCCGAAGGCTGGTTAGAATTGGTGTGTTGGATGAATCTAAAATGAAGCTTGATTACGTTTTGGCTTTGAAGATTGAAGACTTCTTGGAGCGACGATTGCAGACCCAAGTTTTTAAACTTGGCTTGGCCAAATCGATTCATCATGCTCGTGTTCTCATTCGACAGCGCCATATTCGGTAATTAATACAAATCCTTTAGGTTTATATGAAAAGTGAATATATTTACTAATTATTTCTTGACGTTTATAAAAGTGTTGGCAAACAAATCGTCAATATTCCAAGTTTCATTGTTCGGTTTGTCCTCAATTACCCTTTGCTTATTTATTAACTTATGCTGTTACCCTCTTTCTAAGAATTCTTTTTCTGCCTATTTAGCCTGGAATCCCAGAAACACATTGACTTTGCCTTAACCTCACCTTACGGTAATTCCGATACAATAATAATAATAGACAAATATATTTTTTTTTTGGTTTAAACTTCACATATGAATTTTGTTACACAACAGGTGGTGGTCGTCCTGGTCGTGTGAAGAGAAAACGTCAACGATCTGCTACTAAAGGTGGTCAGTATCTTGCCGATTGTCTGATTCCTTGGCACCATCATGTGACTTGTTACTAAACCATTTTATCAAATTAGATGATGACGAAGAAGAAGACGAATAGGCGACGGACGATCATTGTTAATGAAAATGCACAGCATTCATACGTTTGGACTGTATATGATTTTTGACAAAAAAATGTACTGCCCAAACGTAAAGACGACCATCACGCCAACAAGTTTTCGCAATTCCCCAATTATTATTTCGATTTTTTATATGTTATTGATTGTTCTATTTGACTATTAAAAGAACTTTAATAATCAAAATAATAATAATTCATGACTCCATTGCGTCGATATTTTCCACTCCTTCCATTTCTTCATTCGCGGGAATTTCATTGAACATATATTGTTCTTGGAATTTTCGCAAGTAGTTCACTGATCTTTTTTCGTCTAAAAAGAGTTCATATACGCGCCTAATATCGCTGACATCAACAATACTAGCCTGGATGAAGATTGTAATCGTTTAAACATTGTGCATCGGATAAACTATGCGTGAATGTGTTTCAATTACCTTTCGTTTTTTCGAGACAAGATGCGCAGTAGTAATCAAGTGAATTGCGTATCTTAATGAAGTTTCAATCCCAATTTTGGTCAGAGCATTTCGGGCCTCCTCGGTAATTGCAACATCTTCTTCCTGGCATCTGGGTGAGATTTCTTCTATTTAGATGGAATTCCAGAACTCTGGATTTTAAATAAATAAACGAGGGTAGAAGTACCCAAACCTATACCTAATTACCAAGATTTCTCTTATCGAATCCTCGTCATATGGTGATGTACTTATAATCAGCAACCGATCCAACAAATCAATTGGAATTCCATGAGGACTTTTATATTTTGTGCCCCGAATCCTTGTGATACCTCTATTCGATGCCATGATGACCACAGGAGCTCTTTCATCTTCGAGAGCACGATTCAGGAACGAGAAACATTCAATGTCAAGCATGTGAACTTCGTCAATAAAAAGTACCTATGCATGAATATAGTGTATAATAAACTAACGCGATCGTATAATTTTGAAAAATGAAATGTTGGAATTTTAACAGCAACTTACACCAGGTACAATTTCGGCCTTTCCTTCTTCCCTCCACTCGGTAACCTTGGTGTTTATTTGGTCTCGAATTTCAGATTTGATCTCACCCGTGTCACCTATATAAATCCAACGAGATCAGAAAATACATGACAACTATAAAGTCGAAAGAATTAGTACCGAACCAGCTCTAACCAGAAAACAAAGCCAAAAATCCTTGGGTTCTACTATTAATAACATCAATCTCATGTAATGAAACGGTGTGGACAACTTCCCGGCGCTTCTGCAATTCGCCTTCTGGGCATTGCACAAACTTGGTCTGCACGGGTTTTGAAAAACGAATTAGACATATAATACCAATAGTATCATATTAAAGGGTTAAACCTAGAACTCACATCTGCACCCATAGCATCATAGTCCCTGGCACGCGTGAACGAGCGACCTAATTTGGAAATTTTGCCGGATGCTTTGTCGATAGTAATGACGTCACTGGCGGGTCGACAAGAATGTTATTGATCGAGGATGCGTGATGGGAACGGTTGTAATGTAGAACTTACCCCGCCAAAACCTTTTCTTTATTTAAAGCATCTATCATTTTATGACCCAACTCATATATAGTTTCCATATCCGTTGTCTTCAAAGTGAGCTTGCCAGTTTTTGTGCCCTTTTTTTTTTAGAAAACACGAGTGAGAATCGATTCCCAGGATTTTAAGATAAGGGTGCAGGACTAAAACTTACGCCTGTGATCGATCGATCAATCTGGATTTCAACCACCTCGCCTTCAATAATCTCCGCTTCCTCTTTGATGCGCACACCAATTGAACGGCGAAAAGCTTGTGTGAGAGCTTCCGTCTTGGACATTTCGAGTGAGAAAATTTCTGAAGCTGCTAACATCGTAAATGGTATGTCTTTTCCCAATGCCTGCGCCATTCCTTTGCAAAGTAAAATTCCTGTTCAAGATCGATGTCGTGCAATAAGGATATTCATCTAAAGTGGTTAGAGCATTACCCATCGCAATTGCCGTTTTTCCTGTCCCTGGTGGACCAGCCATAAGGATAGCTCGGCCGGCGATTTTGCCATCTTTTATCATCTGCAAAATTACGCCCGCAGCCTTACGTGCTTTAACCTGACCAACCATTCCTTGCGCAATCTGACGAGGTTCAAGTGATTCGTCAAGACCGAGGCCTCTAATGTGCGAGTGCGCACCTAGGTAGTGTGTAAAAGTGCGGTCGATTTAGTAAAAACCAAAAGTTGGTTGGTGGTTATGGTATAAAAGTTCCTACCAATGCGTTCCATTTTCGTAATCTCCTTGATTTCCGGTGCTGTCGTGATTGTGCCTGCCTGACATTTAAAGGTGCTAGTACTTACAATCATGTAAAACCCGCCGTTTTTATCGACTTCCATATTTTTTTGTGAAAACCCATTTGGAAAAAAAGTAATCATAAATTATTGATAAAGTTTGGCCAATCAAATTGTCTTTTCGCGTTGCGATCGTAATTTTTACTTTTTACTTTTTGTCGGTCACTTAAGTTACGGGACA